ACTGGGATTGAATGATACCACCAGGTTTCCTGGTTCTCCCACTGCAGATGGAAGATCAGGGGATGTCTTGGCCTCCATAACTGCCCAAGCCAGGGCCTATAATAAAAATGGTACCTGAGACTTCCGCCAAGATGGAGACGTAGATGGAGGATCCACCTCGCCTCTGTGCACAACCAAATCTAAGAACAACTATTTTTAACAGCAGTCACAACCAAGCCACACGGAAAATCGACAATACGGAGTCCAAAGGACAACTAGATACTCGGCTGGACCGGTACGAGGAGCGAGGCCAGCAGCAGAGCAGGTTAGCAAGAAAAAATTCCCGGGGCGGTGTGCGGCGCGCACAGGCAACCGAGGGCACTGATCGCCAGCCAGCTGGCTGCCGGAGCGCACAGGGAAGAGGCGCGGCGATCAGTCGGTCGGTCGCGCGCATTTACGTGGGGAGAAGCCAGTGAGAAGGGAAGCCGGCGCGGGGCAGCAGGCTCGCGCAATTCTGATCGGATAAACCCCAGGCTTGCGGAGTGACTGGAAACGCTGGGCTAGCGGAGAGGAACGCCATTGCTCCCTCTCTGACCCCGCCCCCACACACAGCGTCACAAACCAGCGACCAGGGTCGCCCCGTCCTGGTAAACAACTAAGGCTTCGCTCCGCTCACTTAACAGCGCGAACAGACCAAAAATGGCTCTAGGACAACTCAGAGCCCCAGAACCGATAGACCTAAGTGATGAAGAAATAGCCAGTCTTTCAGATGCACAGTTCAAAACACTGGTTATAAGGATCCTTACAGAACTGGTTGACTTTAGCCACAAATTAGAGAAACATATGGAAGCTAAATTAATTGAAATGAATGGGGATACAAAAGATTCCAATAGTAATGGAAAGAAAATTGGGACTCAAATCAAGGGAGAGAACCAGAAGGAAGAAAAAAATGATCAAACAGAAAGGAATGAAGAAATAAGAATTCAGAAAAATGAGGAGAAGATTAGGAACCTCCAGGACATCTTTAAACGTTCCAACATCCGAATTATAGGGGTACCAGAAGGGGGAAAGGCACAACCACCAGTTGAAAAATTATTTGAACAAATAATAAAGGAGAATTTCCCCCAAGATGGCAAAGGGAAATAGACTTCCGAGAAATCCAGGAAGCTCAGAGAGTCCCAAAGAAGTTGGACTCAAGAAGGAACACACCAAGGCACATCATAATTACATTAGCCAAGATTAAAATGAAGGAGAGAATCTTAGAAGCAGCAAGAGCTAAGGGGACAGTCACCTACAAAGGAGTTCCCATCAGACTGTCAGCTGATTTCTCAAAAGAGACCTTACAGGCAAGAAGGGGCTGGAAAGAGGTATTCCAAGTCATGAAAACCAAAGATCTACAACCAAGATTGCTCTACCCAGCAAAACTTTCATTTAGAATGGAAGGGCAGATAAAGTGCTTCTCAGATAAGACCAAATTCAAGGAGTTCATCATCACCAAGCCCTTATTATATGAAATGTTAAAGGGACTTACCTAAGAAAAAGAAGATAAAAAAGATGAACAGTGAAAGGACAGCAAACTCACAGTTATTAAGAACCACACCTAAAACAAAAGCAAACTAAGAGGATAGCTAGATCAGGAGCAGAACCATAGAAATGAAGATCTCAGGGAGGGTTAGCAATAGGGGAGTGGGAGGAGGGGAAGGGGGGAGAAGGTACAGAAAATAAGTAGCATAGACAGTAGATAGAAAATACATAGGGGGAGGGTAAGAATAGTAGGGGAAATACAGAATCTAAAGAAATTGAGACACATGTTCATGAACTAAAGGGGGAAATGGTGGGGGAGGGGTATGCAGGGTGGAGGGGAAGGGAGGGGGGAATAGAGCAAATGTAATGGCATAATCAATAAAAAAAAAAGAAAAAAAATAAATAAAAATGGTACCCGAAATAGTTTATTATTTATTAATTATTGTATCATTTATTATTGTTCATCTACTTTGCCCACCCCTGTATATCTTTCTATCTCGACCTCTTTGACTCTGTCTCTATTTCTGTCCCTATTTTTTACTGGTTTCGTTTCTCTGGAGCAACCTAACACAGTTACATGTGACCATAGAACCAGAACAGTTCTGACAGGTGGAAGGTATATAAGATCCCTCTTCCTTTCCAATTCAATTCCATAACAGGCACAGATCAAACTGCACAACAGTGCACTGAACTTCATTCTGCCTTCCTTACCAATCCATGTGTCTGGGTGTGTCTGGGTATGCCTGGGTGTATCTGTGTGCATGTATGCATGCATGTGTGTGTGTGTGTGTGTCATCCCAACAGTGATCTACTAACACCCTGGAGGCACTGAGCAGCACAGAATGAGCTCCAGGAAAAATGTGAAAGTCAGTAAACTTAACCTTCTCTCTCCCACAATGTCCCTAAGGAAACTGCGGGATGGGAGAAGCACCAGACTTTTGGAGCTTTGGTTGAGGGTCCTGGCTAGGCCTACTACATGGAGCAATCATCTGACTTCTCTCAGGCTGGATAGTGGGAGCAAGTGCTTTCTCCCAGGTTAGATCATTGTGAAGCCTGAATCAGATGATGCGTATGAAAGCCCTTTGGAGGTGAAGCAGCTTTAAAGGCGATCCCACTGTTGAGGTGATCCTGCCTTTTGCCTTGATGTGATCAACCCTCTACTTTGACACTCCTGCCTGGCTGCCTTCCCTGTGTCTAGCACAAACCCAACCACAGGGTAGCAGAAGATTCTCACAGAGAAAAAAACAGAGATTCCCACAGAATTGCAATGTGGTTTTTGCGATCTGCCCATCCCTAACACCAACCAGTTCCCCTGTTGGGGGTATGGTGAGCAGGAGACCCTATTGGCCAGAAAGAGAGAAGGGCAAGATCATCTCAGGATCCCATGACTGAAGGTCATGGTGAGTCCTATGTCCTTGAGAGAGTCTGAAATACTGAAAGAAGAGCGGCCTCTGTGTGTTGGGGGTGGGGTCCTTTGGGAGAGTCACATCTGGAGATGTGAGGAGGAATCAACAAGGAAGCCTCAAGCATTGCCATACATTTCCCCACCTCCCAGCCTTCTTTAAGGGCCAGGATCCCATTGCTAACTGGTAATTCCCTGATGCACTCAGACGCTCAGCAGGCTGTGATGCCAGGTGACAGTCCCTCCTATGCCCCCCTATTGTCCTGGTGGCTGTCTCTTCTAGAGTTCCCTTTCCATGTTTTCTTTGGGTTCTTGCTGGCCCTGGTGGGGCAGCAGACAAAATAGAGGTATTCTGTTGATTCCGTTGAATAAAGGATTGATATACAATGAGGGAAGGGGCACTTTCCCTTAAGGGAAGTGAAAGGGTCATTAGATACTGAGGAGGGAGGGGATGACCTTTGAAAGACTCTTTTCTGGGTGACACCTGAGTGATGCAAGCCTGCAATTTTCTCCATTAATGTTCAGCCTCTTCACATAAGTCCTCTAACGACAGTGTGGGCGATGGATGAAGACAGGGCAGCCGAAGCTTAAAATATATGCCAAGGAGACATTAAAAGCTACATAACTACCTAGGAGTGAGGAGAATAGGCAGGAGAGCGAGGAGATGTGGTGGAAATTCTGCTACTTGTCTGTTAAGAGGCTGGGATCATCTTTTGTTCATTCTTCTATTGTTCCGCACACCATCGTACTGACTCCTCCTGATAGGCCTGCACTTCCTCTCTACTTCCAAAGTCGCTGTGCTAGCCTAGACCTTAATTACCCTTCTCCTTGACAATCACAGTAATAGACTCCCTGCTCCCAGGATCTGCCACTTTCTGTCTACCTCGTTGATATCACCAGATTACACTTCCTAAAATATCACTTTGCACATGTCATTCTCCTGCTTAAAAACTTCAACCAATCCCTATTGTCCATAAAGTAAAGGCTAGTTTTTGGCTTTATTCTGCAAATCAGTGCCACAAAACTTTAAACGGTGTGTACTTAAACGGGCTGCATGCAGATTTTTGTTCCTCTTTCCACCCCCAATTCTGATATGTAAGCTCCAAGAGGGAAAGGATTTATTTTTGATTTCTGATACATAATAAGCACCCGGATGATAATTGTTGGATGAGCGCATTAATTAGCTCATAAATAATTTATGGCATAGTATATGGTGCCCACAAGTCTTTGCCGAAGGGACACAGGCAGGAAAGAAAGATGATGCTACATTAAGACAGGCATGAGTTATACGTAGATGGCAGCTCCAGTTATGGCCTTGAATCTAACCAAGGCAGTCAAAACTTGACCAAAGGAGTTAAAGGTATGAATGAAGCAGAGGGTTAAGATCACTTGAAATCAGAACAGATATTAGGAGTGGAAGAAGGTTGGAGAAGGAAACTGAGCAAGCTGAGGGACCACCGGGGGGTACCATTTGGGAAGACAGGTAGTTATGATAGCAAAGTCATAAGTTGGAGGGGTGGGAGCTGGGTAATAGGACAGGAGGAGTGAGCCATCTGGGCGAGAAGCCAAGAGCTCAGAGAGTCTGAGTACCAACCAGGATGTGTTAAATAAGTTCCAGTAGCCATCATGAAAAACTCGCTATATATGGATAGTGGTCAAATTTCAGATATCTTGAATGTCCTTGAGACTGGGATGACAGTTAAGAACCATTTTTCAGAAAAACAAATAAAACCATATAATACTATACATAGTTATAGGCATTAAAAGATTTCCCTGAGGTCAATCCTCAGGTTAAGAAAACCTCTTTTAGGGCTGTCTGGTGTGGCTCAGTGACTTGAGCATGAGCCCGTGGACCAAAAGAAAAGCCATTTTATATGGTCTGAATACCTCACACTTACATTGATTTATTTAGCATCATCATTTTTCATTCTTTTTTATTGTTGACACTATAACAGATGTCCCCGATTTTCTCCCTCTACTCCCTCCATCCAGTCCTGCATTTTACCATTTATGAACTTGAAGGTTTTTTATCACCCACTAATACATTGAATCCTTGCAACTCTCTGAAATTAGTAATAATTATTCTCATTTTTAGGAAACTGAACTTCAGTGGGGAAACATGCCTTGCCCAAGTAAAAAGCAAATGGCAGGAAATTCAGGGCAGAAGGTGGGTATTTTGGTTTCATGTTGAGTGCGTGTTTGTTTTTTCTATCATATATCCACCAAAACAAGCTGTGCTAAAACATTTCCGTGTGAACCAGAAAGCCCTTTTTACAAATATTAATTGAGTACCTGTCATGTGTCAGGCACTCTGCTGGGCACCTGGGATTCATTAGCGAACAAAACAGACCGACATTTCTGCTCCTGTGGATCTCCAGACCCACACTGCGGTCAGGGCCTGCCCAGCCTGAAAGCCTGAATTGGAACTTAATGAAAACCTGTAATCCTGGGATGTCCAAACGTTTGGTGTCTCTGGGCCACAGTAGAAGAAGAAGAGTTGTCTTGGACTACATGTGAAATACATTGCAACATCTAATCACAAAAAAAAAAATCTCACAATGATTTAAGTAAATTATGATTTTGGGTTGGGCCCCTTTCACAGCCATTCTGAGCTGCATGTGGCCCGCGGGCTGTGAGTGCCCCGCATGGGCAGCATTCTAGGACCTTCTTACTGTCAATCAAAGGTAGACTTCATGTGAACTGACAGCAAACATTCCCAGTCCTTCATTAATACCTAATCATGGCAGACTCCACTAATTTTCATTTCTTTTTCTTTGTGTTGTCTTCCATTAAAAAATTGCAAACTCAAAACTCTCTCTTTATCATCTCAACACAAGAAATAAGGCCCAGATAAAACATTTCACTCCTGGTTGCTCAGAAGAGGACTAACAAAACCAGACTGAGAGCTGAGGAAACCAGACTGACAGTGGAGACACCCGATGCCCCAGAACCAGCTCTGTCTTCTGCACCATTTCTGTCTTTTCCTTGGGCCTCAGCTTCCTCAGCTGTAAAGCAAGTCTGGGTGTTTCTGTCATCCTTCTCGGACCTAAAATGCTGTGGACATTTGAGAGCTCAGAGAAAACCTTTCTAATTGCGAGGTGGTGAGATATCAATGGTGAGAGAAAACTGGCTCCCATATTTTGTAGCTGCCCTACTTGGCTCTGGAAACTGAGCAGTTCTTAGCTGAGTGGCATGTAGAAAACAGAAAGGGTGGGAGATGGGGTAAAAGCCTGGTGTGTCATCAGAGAAGGAGGAGGGCACATCAGGGGGCTGCAGCGGTGAGTACAGCCTATGGGGCTGCATTTTTTTCTGGAAAGCTCAGTGCCCTGCCAAGCCAGGGTTGCAACAAGGTAGCCTTTTAAAAAGCAGGCAGCCTGGCTTATTTCACTCAGCATAATGCTCTCCAGTTCCATCCACGCTGTTGTTGTGAAAAGGTAGGAGCTCCTTCTTTTTTCTGTTGCATAGTGAGCCAGGTGGTAAAAGACAAATACCATGTGATCTCATCTGTAAGTGGAACCTAATCAACAAAACAAACAAGCAAGCAAAATATAACCAGAGACAATGAAATAAAGAACAGATTGACAGTAACCAGAAAGGAAGGGGGAGGGAGATAGCAGGGGAAAGAAGGTGAAGGGTCATCAAGGAACATGTACAAAGCACCAATGGACAAAGACAAAGGGGGCTGGGATTGCGGGTGGGGGTGGGTGGGGCAGGGGAGAGTGGTGGGGGGAAATGGAGACACCTGTACCTGAACAATAATAAAAAAACAAAAACAAACCAACGAACAGACAAAAAAGCAGACAGCCGAAGAGGCTGCCCCTGAGCAGGAAAGTGCGGAGAAAACTCAGATTCCTGGTATGTCAGAGTAGGGCCTGGTCACCTCAATGCAATTCCTTTCTTCTACCTTACAGCTGGGGACGCCCAGAGGGTGTGGCTGGGAGAGGTGACACGCTTAGGGTCACAGAGCCTGCCCTCAGCCCAACCGTGAGGAGAGCCCAGGAACTTCTCATTGCTGCTTAAATGAAAGCGAATCTCGCCTTTGTTCTGTTTATTGCCACCTTTAATAAAACCATTATTTTTCCTCCATGTGCTCTTGCTTCGCATCTCTGAATAAAAAATACGTGGTAATAACAGGTACCCCTTCTTAACAGCCTGGAATCTGACACTGAAAAATTGAAGGTGTGACTGATTCATTAAACCTCCAGGTTTGTTTTTAAGAGTTACTTTGCAGATGATTAGGTGTTTATAATGAGAGTTGATAAAATTATACCTTTGGTTTGAAATTTAAATTTAAATACATTCTTCTCCATTCATTTCGTTTCTTGCTCTTCCCTGGTCTAAGTTCCCTCTCCAGTGAAAATATTAAGAGCCTCCTTCCCTGCTTATACCTAAAACATAGCACTGGAGGGTCATGATGGTCGCTGGCCTCCACCCCGTACAACGCCCTACCTTCCTGGGTTGATTTATGCACCATGCTCCTTTCTTGCCAACTCTACCCCGGTCTTCTGAAACATCCTGATTGGTCAAAGCAACCCAGGCAGGTCCACGGGTCTTTGCACCTGGAGAGCAAAGTAACCCTGGGAAAATAATTTAACCTCTCTGTGCCCGGTTTAGTCTAGAAAATGGAGATAGAGATAATTCTCAATCTTAGGTTATGGTAGGAAAATTAAAATGATACTCTTTCTACCATGCCTATTCAGTGCCAAAGCAAGCACTCTACAAATCGTATTTCATTTGCTTTTTATAGTTGCTCTCATGACTACTTCCATTTTACAGGTGAGGAGACAGGGGCAGAGACATCCCAGAATTGCCCAAGTGGAAGAACATTTGAATGACCAAGTCTGGCTAACTTGAACAATCACGCTTTTTTTCTAGCACACCACAGGTACTTACTGCTTACCATACAGGTTTGCAAGCCCGGGGGGGTGTTGCTCCCCAGAGGACATTCAGCAATGCCTGGAGACAACTTTGGTTTTGCAACTGCAGAGAAACATTCCTGGCACCTAGTGGGTAGAGGCCAGCAATGCTGCTACTAAGATGCGCAGGGCGGTCCCCGACAACAAGGATGTATCCGGCCCAAACATCAATAGTGTAGAGATTGAGAAACCCAGCTGTGCTATAGCCCATTGTATGAATTTAACATAATTCATTCTGCTAGATGGGCGCAACAGGTATTGCAAAGGGTCAAGCACATGGTAAACATTCAATAAGTGCCAACTATCAGCATTAATACTGATACTTCTAGACTTACCTCACCCTTTGTTTCTTCTATCTGGAGTTATTCCTGATACCTGCCAAGAGAAAAGAAGCATTTTCTTCATTTCAATAACCCTTTGCTTTCTCAAGTATATGATATGCTGTATTTATCACAGTTATATATTCTTTATCCTCTTTCATAAGTTGCCAGTTTCTCAAGGGAAGCAGTTGTACTTACTTATTTTTTTTTTTGTATCTCTCCATGTATTTAGTACAGTGTCTGTCCCATTGAATTTGAGAACTGAGAGATTTTCTGAGGAAAGGTAGGCAGGGACTACTACCCCTGTTTTACCAGGGTGGGGGAACCCAAAACAAAATTATCTTCTGGAGGGCGGGACCCTGGTGGTACAGGTTTCCCTTAATAGGTGAGTGTTCTAGGAACCCATCTGTGTCAGTGCACCTGCTGGTATTGTTTTGAAGACTGTCTCAGTGCATTTGTCCATTTTCATGATGAAAGATACAGGAATATACCTGCTGACTCCGCACTGAGTGTCCAGCAGTTTTTGACCCAAACAGCATGACCCCCATGACCCATCCGCCTTATTCACCCCATGCCTCACCCTCTTTATTCCGCCAGAGTCACTTTTTCATTTGTTTGTTTCCCTGGATGAAAAAAGTCCTCAAAGGAAAACGTTGTGTCCCTGTGGAAGATGTGAAACAAACTAACAAATGGCAGGAGCACTAAAGGGCATCAAAACGGACTAGTTCAAAAACTGTTTTGAGCAGGGGAAAAACGGGTCTTGATAGGTCTGTTGCATCCAGTGAAGGGCACTTTGAAGGTGACTGAAGTTTAAACATGTAAGAATCAATACACAATTTTTATAAATAAGTTCCATTTTGGGGGTCTCCTCCTCACATGACTGAGCAAACAGGCTCAGAGGGCTTGACTCATTTAAGACTACGTGACTTGTAAGTGGCAGAGTTTGTCCTGGATCTCACCTCAGAGCTCAGCATTAGCTTGTTTCACTGTTACTTACATAATCAATTACAAACCACTGGAACCGAAGCCCATTCTTTTAGAGAGAAGTTACTAAGAAACCCTTTGTATTCAGCCCACAAACTGATAAAGAAATTGGTTTAAATGTTCATCTGATCAGGAGATGTCTGTTGTGGAGTCCACAGGATACAGCTGAAGAGAGATGACCACAAAGGTCAACACACTGAAGAAAATCATGGCAGGGAGTCCAGGTGCCTGGGTACGTAGCTGGAATTTCAACGAGCTAGCTGTGCGGTACTGAAAAAGATATGGTGCCTCTTCCCTCCTCACTTTTCTCATCTGTCAAACAGGGACCTAATGCCCATCCTAACAAGCCCACACAATTGCTAAGAGGAATTACCTGTCCAGTACAGTCCATTCTCATTATCGACAGTGGTTATGTTCTATAAAATCAGTGCAAACTGAGGCTCTGATCACGACATTCTCATCAACCAATCAATATGTCAACTTGTGTTATGCGTGCTTCTTCTAAAGACACCTGATTTAATATATAGTGTTGATTCATTAATATTAAACTTATGGCCAATAGCACTATAACTCGTACCTGAAAGAAGCTCATCTAACTCACTTATTTTCTCTGTAAGACATACTGGAGTCTTCTTGAGCTTAGAAGGACTGGACAGCATTTCGGCACTGTGCTTAGGCACTGTTTAACCAGTGAAATCACCAACGCAGGCACAGAAATGTAACAAGCTTGGCACCAAAGGTACCACACAAAGGAGGACACTTGTTTACAGTGCGAGAGCTGCAGGAAGAAGGCAGCACACCACTTTGTTTGATTTTGGGTGGGAACACGCACACTGGAATAAAAGTTTCCACCACTCTGCATGTGTTCACAAAAGAAAGGGTATCACAGAGTTCATGAATAATGAGTATCAACTGTCCATTTTAAGAATTGGGTGTTAATGAGACACCCGATAGCGCTCCTTATCACTATTGTGATAGGAAACAAAGAAAGATAAAAAGGTCCATGATGATCTGAGAATATGCTCAACACCACTGTTCATCAAGAAAATCAAAATTAAAACCAAAATGCAATACCACTAGACACACATCCAAATGGCTAAAATGTAAAAGACAGATGATATAAAGGTAGACAGAGGTAAAAAGTACTCTAGGTACTATTGATGGGCATGTGTAATCGGCACAAACACTTTGAAACCTCTTTGAGAGAATGTACTAAAGTTGCACAGATGCCAATAAATAATAGGACCCAATTTTACTTGTAGATATATATGCTACCAAAAATGTATACACGTTTACCATATGTATGAGGCACTTATCTCTGATCACCTGAGAATAGAAAGAAACTAAATATCCATCTATTAGAATAAATATGGCTACATCCAGAATAGCACATGCCTGCAGCAATGAGGATGAAGAGACAGCTATGCTCAACAAGACGGAGGATCCTCATAAGCATAATTTTGAGCCAAAGAAGCCAGACATAAGTAAGAGTGTATGCTGTATAATCCCATTTATGTCAAGTTCCAAAACAGGCAACACCTATGTATAATGTTAGACCTGAGAAGAGGGCTCACTCTTGGGGCACCGGTGACAGGGATGGGCACGAGGCTACCTCCAGGGGACTGACTGGGTGTTCTGTTTCTTGATCAAAGCATTGTGGACATTTCCTGACCATTTTACTGGGCTCCATTTCTGAACGCTTACTGAGCCACACACTTACGAGCCTTATACTTTTCTGCATGTACTTTGCACTTCAATAAAATAAAAATATATGTTTTAAGTGGGGGTAGAGACAAAACACTTAGTGAACACCTAACATATGTCAACGCATTTTACTCAGAGACTCATTAATTCGTAGCCATAAAAGTACCCATGATGGAGATACATGGTGCTACCAAGTGAGTGAAAGCCACGACCTCCAGAGACCCCTTGGCTACATTTCCCCTGGCTTTGGGGTTTACAATTTTGTGAGGTGAATTCACCAGTTTTACCTTTCAGCTAAGTTCAGCCCCACCCCCTCCTCCTGGGTGGGCGGGGTTCTTCACAGTGCAGACTTAATCATGTTTACTCACTGCTCTGGATGAAACACAAAGATAACAAAGCACTCTCAGTGCTCACGCAACCTCCGGTTCCCTGGAAGGCTCCTACACAGACACAGGTGCTGAGCGTTCAGCTGCAGAAGTGGAAAACCAACCAGACTCGCTGGCTGCAAAAACCAACTACAGCCTTTTTTTTCTC